CTGCCAAGGCTGCCAGCACCAGCGACACGTCCCGAAGGACACCCAGGGAACGGGGATACATCCCGCCCGCATCTCCTGTCACCTCGTCCTTGCCCCAGAAAAGCCGGGCTGTCCCAGGAGAGCCCGCCGCAGCTGGCACAGCACGGCCCGGCCTGGCACAGCGCCCCGGGAGTCCCTGTGCCTCACAGGCAGGACGGCACCGCGCTCCCCGGAGCACAAAGTCACCGCTGCTCGGAGGCCGGGAGGACGCTCCTGCTTTGCCGAGACATCAAACAGCTCAAACACCTCTCCAACGGCACGAGCTGCTCCTCGGGGACAGCAGGGCGGGGTGGAGGGCTCTGGCACAGGGGAAGGAACACATCATCCAGAACCACACACTGCATCCATCTGCCTCAGTTTGGGAGCACGGAGCCAGCCCTGGCTGGAGGCACACGTCGGCCAGAGGGATGCATCAGGCAGAGCTGTGGTTATGCTCCTCACTCGAGAATCAGGGCTTTGGTTCTCCCTCACCCCCCTACAAGCACACACAACCTATTTTGCAAGGAAATTTGAGGAGCGTGGGCAATTTTCACATTACTTCTTTTCCCATCTTGGAGGTGAATGGGAATGTTATCCCAAAATACTGTTCAAACTCCAGGAAAAACTCAATAAAACTCTGAAAGAGGGTTAGATAAAGAAATGTGGAGTGGATGTATTTGAGAAAATGAAATCCTGTCCTTGATCTCCTCATCCGAGGCCTTGGCTCCCACCAGTCACAAATCCGCTCCCTCGGCTGCATGAATGGTGAGGCAGCCGTGCTCGCACACAGGAAATGGAACTCCTACAAATATTTACCTGAAAGAAACATGAGAGCAGATTTCAAGGAAACTGCTGGGCTAATGCCATGGATCAGGCACTCCAGAACTATTTCCTGAGCCCATCCAAGCCCATCCTGGTTCCAAAGGTGATGGAACAGTGGGTGCTGCACTGGAGCCACCACAGCCTCGCTGCCCAACACACCTTTCAGAGTCCTCCCCTGTATGAAACCCCTTCCTGAATTTTTCCAGGTGCAGCCCTGTGCTTTGAAGAGGAGGACAGTTGGCAGTTGAGGGAGAGATTAATTTCAAGGATGCTGAAGGGCAAGAGCTCACCATGGTCCTCGGCAGTGGGGAAACTTGGCTGCTCCCACCGAACTCCACGTGCAGGGAGGGAAAGCAGGAGCATCCAGCATGGAGTGGGACAGAACAACGCCTGCCCCAGTCCCAGGAACCCTCAGGGGTGGCAGCACCTCAGGCAACCCTGACACTGCCGACAGGACATGGATTATTCCAGTGCACCTGCTGTGCTCCCAGAACCAACCCTGCCCCCCCGCCTCTGGTAATGTGTCTGAAAATTAACTGGGATCACGGCTCTGACAAACATCAAAACACCACCCGTCAGCACTAACCCACTTCCCCAAAGCCTCAAAGGCTCACTCAAGTGCAGTCCCTTTCATAAGGTCCTTTTTTGCTCTCCAGCATCAGCCCCTTTCTCCCATGCCTGTGGAGACACTTCACAGGAGCATTAACTGTAGAATAGGCTGATTTTTAATGCAGAATTATACAAATGGAGCCATTCTTCCATTCTGTGCCCCCTGTTAGGTAATCTATTGGTATTGCACAGGGAATAATCAAGGTTATGTCCTTGTTGGGGTGATTTATGAACCCTGAGCATCCCATATCTCCGAACACCAAGTGAAGCAGGGACAGAGGTATTCCTGTGCATGCCTGGAGCAGGAGCCGTGGTCAGAGAGTTGGGGTGATGTTTCCTTGACCCAGGCAAGACAAAGCAGGAAAGCAGGCACCATGCTCTAGGAAAAGCATCCTTGGCAGCGGGTCTGTGTGTCCTACAAAGGCATTCAGAGCGGGGCAGGTTATGAGAGTACGTGCAGGAACTCACTGGCTCCATACGGAATAGAACGAGGCCGCTGCATCCCAGCGGGTGACTTTCACACTGGAGCAGGGAGAAGAGGGGAAAACTTCACTGGCAGATACTTGGCCTGGGATTGTGTGTCCTCTCTGAGGTGGGGACTGCAGCCGCCGCCGCAGCCTCTCTCCTCTCCATCCCGCTGTCCTGTGTGATGATCCCTGCAGTGCAGCGACTGTCCTTTGTTGTCACACTACCAACCATCACCATGGAAATGGAGCACTGCTGTTCTGCACTCTGGGCTGGACCAGGACTCTCCCCAGGGCTGGGCTGGGAGGAGATGCACCATCCCATGTGAGGGCAGCATGGATGAGTGCCAAAAGGCACGTGGCGAGTTTTGACATAGGATCAGCAGGTGACCTTGGGGACCACTCCCACATGGTGTCCACTATGGCCTACCCCACACCCCAGGCATCAGCACACCATGGAGACCTCTCTCCTGAGCCATGTTCTGCCACGGGATGAGTTTTTCTGATCCCAGACACAATGGGAATTGGAAACATACAACCCACTGCTCCATCTGTAGCCCCAGCTTTTTCCCAGATAATTATAAATTTGTGAAAATATGGCTGCCAAGCTCTTTAAAGCCAGGACTGGGACTTACGGCACAAAGGCTGACACACAGTAGCACCTAAGTAAATTAAATGTGCCACATCACTACCTATCTATATTACAGTCCTGAGCTTCAGGATTACCTGCTAATAAAAGTGATATTTAAAACAAGTCCTAAGTTCCTCCGCTGCCCCCTTCTCCCCACAAGTAATTAAACTGATGCCGCTTCCCGCAGCGGAGGGGATGGGATTTATCATGGAGGGAAATCAGCAGAGGGTGAAATAGGTTGAATCCTCCCTGCCACGCTGCTGCGGCCAGGCAGACAGCAAACATCCACTTCCCTGGGAAAACGGGGCAGAAAGGGGATGGGTGGGGCTGGGAAGCCATGGGTCCCCCCAGGATGGAAATGCCAAGATGGAGGCAGCCGGATCCATCCCTGGCTGTGCTTGGGGAGTCGTGAGAGGGGGGGCAGGAGGGTGGCCATGGCAGGGGGGAGCCACTCACTCTTCTGCCTCTGCCTTGAGCTCACCCAGCTGCAAATAAACAATTTTACCATTTGAATAGCCGCGAGTGCGGAAGGCATAATTAATACCCAGCGGTACCATCAGCCAATGTGCTGATGCGGGAGGTGCAGCCCCTGCCAACGCCGTCAGCGCACAGCTTTGGCTCCGCAGCATGCAGCCCCGGCTGCTCTCGCCTCCAGGCCCGTCCTTCGCCAGCGGCAGAGGAAGGGCAAAGCCCCAGTGCAGGCACCTGGAGCCCACCAGCGCAGGACCTCTCCGATGTACCCCGCACCCACACCACAGAAAGAGTCAGGATCTGGCAGAGCAGTGTGGGGAAGAGTAGAAAGGAGCAGGCAGAGGCCAGGCACATGTGGCATCGCTGCGGAGGAAAGAGCTGTGCCTAGTTGCTTCCAAAGTTGAGCCAACCTTTAACTCTGAGTTTCAAGTTTGGTTATCTTAAATATTTTAAAAGACACTGACAGGACAAAAGGCCCAGTGCCTCCAGCCAGCCTGAGGATGAGTGTGAGAGCTACAGTGAGCTGGCCAACACTGTCCATTACAGTCAGCCTGGCTTATCTTGCTCTAGAGAGAGCAAGGACATCTGCTTGAGAGAGTTCTTCCTGGTGTTCAGGGATTATTTCAAACAGGATTTGAAAATCCTGAAGGGTGGGAAGCCCAAAAGTTTGCATGCATCTTCAGACAAAAACACGTCTCTTGCAAATTTCTGTGCAATACCAGTGCTTGGTAGTTTACCGGCCACCACTCGGGCAGCAGGAGCTCTGAGCCCAGTCTGGCTCCCCTGGGAGGACTCAGAGTGCTGCAGGTTCATCTGAATGGCGTGGCGTGACATGTCCCAGCCAAGCCAGGGGATGAAATGCCTTGAGTGCTCCCCAAGGGGGTCAACACAGAGCATCCCTCCCAGCAAACACAGTGTGGATACCACTAGAGCATCCCTCCCAGCAAACACAGTGTGGGTACCACTGGAGCATCCCTCCCAGCAAACACAGTGTGGGTACCACTGGAGCATCCCTCCCAGCAAACACAGTGTGGAGCATCCCCCTCAGCGGGCACAGCATGGCTGTCGCTTCCCCCACCGCCGCCCGGCCGCCCCAGCCAGCAAACACTGCGTGCATTTAGTGTGGCAGGGCTGGACAGTGGGGTGTTTCATCAACCCAGCAGCGATAACACTCGGCTTTTGTCCCTCCCGGATAAAGGAGGTTTGTGAGCACTGGCTTTCCAGCCCAAACTGGCACCTGTCGCCAACTTACCCCACTCGTCCCCCCCTTGAGTTCCGCACCAGCGCTGGGACCAGGCAGCAGCAAGAGCTCCAGCTCAGACACAACTTGCTGGGAAGTTTCAGATTTCCAGATCCACCAAAATCTTGTAGCAGAGCCACAGTCTCAAGCTCTGCTCTTGCTGATATTAAAAACAATCCATAAACCTAAGGAAATCAAGGCTTTCCCTCCTTATTTTAGCTTCTACCTAAACCTCCTCATGTATTCCATCTCCTCATGCACACCACAGAATTGCTGCCCGGGCTTTATATCATGACAGTGACCAAGGAGGTCCTGGCACACAAGACGGTGCTGCCTTCCCCATCCCCATCACAGCAGTGGAAAACACTCTCCCACGTACCAAAATCAATCTGCTGAGGGAACAGGACTGTGACATGTGTTAAAACCAGAGCTCAGAGATCATCCCTGGTGTTAATGCTGCCCACAATAAATAAGGCCACCGGCTGAGCTGAGTGGCTCCCTGCTGTGGACACGGGCACAGGCAGGACAGTGCACTTCCCCACAGCCACCATCGGAGGAATTCCTGCTTTCCCTGCTTTGCTCATGAATCTTCTTCCATTGCCACACATCTGCCCCCTGTACAACCAACTGCAGGATGATCAGGCCTCCCCCTTGCATAAAAGGCTTGCAGTGGCATGTCCAAGCAGGATGCAATGCCCAGCACTGTTGGATGGGATGGGATGGAAGGGGATGGCATGGCAGAAGCGAGGCTCTCCCCAACAGGATGGCAATAGTCCTGCCAGATCCCAGACCAGAGCCAGAGCCTCATGAAGTGTTTTGTTCCTCTGAATGCATATCCACAAAGCGATTCTAAGTGATAGCAACTTAGTCAACTCAGCCCTGGGCACTGAAGGACCTACAGAGAGGAGAACTGTGGCACAAAGCTACGGCTTATGCTGCCCTTTAACCCCACTGCTTTCCAGATAAATAACCCAGCACTGATCGTATTTTCTAAATTAATGTGCTCAAGGGTGTCATTACAATGCATGCAGGAAATGCTTTGATCTAAAAAAAATAAGTTGGCTCAGTACATCTAAAGTAGCAGCTTAACAAGCTTTAAAACAAAACAATTAAAAGAGGTCTGTGGTGTCTTTGTAACACAATGTGTATTCGCAGGAGCTGTGTATCAGAGCCCACTGTGGTATCCACATCAACGGGAAACACCTCCAACCATGGAGCACACCCAGGGAGAAAATACCTCACAATGGGATTTTAAATTATGACCTCCCAAAGTGCTCCACTTTCCCAGGAGCAAAGACAAGCATTGGATGCATCTGGATGACCAGCACAGGGCCCAGCCAACCCGTCCCCTTGGCAAAGGCTGGATGTCCACACAGGGAAGTCCAACTAACTCAGGTCTTCACTCCAGCACCACAGTCTCCGGATGGAGCTGCTCTCAATTCAGCCTGCAGTGACAGATCCAAATGTGTCTCTCTCCTGGGGAGTCCCCAGCAGCCCAGAGATGCACAGCCTGCCCAGAAACCTCAGCAGCCATCCTCAGGAATGAACACAGGGAACACGTCAATAATTTCAAAAGCTCCATAAACTCTAACAGAAATGGAGAAGATGAGAGGAATGAAGACTCTGAAAGCAGAAAGAGGAACAGATGGCTTTTATGGAGCAAAAAATACAATAGGAAAAAATGGAGCACCAGAGCTCTCTTTGAAGGTGTGAAACGTCAGTAGGGAAGCCTGGAGAAAGCCAAGGCACAGGAGCTGGGAGCTCAGTGCAGGGCACTGCATTGCCCAGCCGAGGCTCTGGCTGGTGGTCCTGGGGAGCCCCCAGCCCCCCTGGCTCCTGAGACAGCACCAGCTCTGCCCAGCCCCACCACAGGGACATCCTGCTGCCAGAGAAGGGTCAGCGTGACACTCAGCATGGAGAAAGAACAGCCCAAAAAAATGATGAAAAAGCCAAGCTAAAATAGAAAGCAAAGGCAGCGGGAATGAACTCTGGGGCAAAGACTCTTGATCCTGTCACAGAGAGTTTTAAATCCCTTTTAGCACCAAGCAATTTCTTTGCCATGGAGAAGAGCCTTTCTCCCTGGCATGGCCATTTCACTGTGCATACAGCAACCAGGCAGCTCACAGGCTCTCCCACTACAGCCATGGCAAAATCCTTGTGGATCGAAGTGACGGTGAAGATTTGCTTCTAGGACCTCAAAAACACTGTGCCATTGTGGGCACAGCATCCCCTCACAGCCCAACAGCCAGTGTGTCAGGGATCACCGTGCTCTGCATCCCATTTGAAAAAAAACCAGTAATCCCCTTTTCAGGAGAGATTAAACTTTTGCAGTATTATCTCCAACGGGTTTGCAGCAGGGGTTGACTTGCATCCCTCAGTATCTCAACTTCCTTCAAAGGCACCTGTGCCAGCAGCCTTACTTCCATCCTCGTCCCCTCAAAATTAGCAAAATTGATTTTGCCAGAGGATATGTCACTTTGACAGGAACCCAGAGAATGTCATGTCAGATGATGCTAAAGTAGAGCTTTTTACAAAGACAAAAAACAAGAAGATGAATAACTCATCCTTTCCATGAAAAACTTTGTAAGAAAACCCATGAATGACAGATACTTGTAGAAAAAAGCTTGATTCATTTTGGAAGTTCTTCCTAAAATAACACTTGCAGGCATCTGGAGTGGTCACACTTTCCCTACATAAACACCCCACTGCTGAGGACTCAGCCAAGCTTTGGCTCTGGCCGGGAAGAGGCAGAGCCAGCCACGCTCCCAGCGGGATGTGCAGCTTCATCTCCTGGCATTCATCACCCACGTTCCGGTGGGTCCTTAAGTGGATGGCCTCGTCCATGTCAATTAACTGATGCTTCATTACTCGAGTCCTGCAAAGAGAGCAGAGATGCTATCGCAGGCAACGGGGCAGGGCTGGGGTCACACACGGGACTCGGGCAATTACAGAACATGTCCCTGAGGAAGCCGTGTGTGCTTGTGCTTGCTAGGCAGGCAATTCCCAGGGGGGACAACCTGGGCTGCCCCCAACCTTGTCACATCTTCAACCTGAATGGCGTGCAGTCAAGTGGCAACATCAATTAGCGGCGTTTGCTCTTACCGGCACCTTGAACACCGCTGCTGCTGAGCAGCGAGTCCCCAGCCTTCCCACGCTGAGCACAGCAGCTCTACACAGCTCCTCAGCTGGCATCATGCAGCCACATTCCCCATCTCTAGGGCTATAAAACATAGCTGGAATTTCTCCTGACCGTCCCAGGATGCTGCAGACGAGGCATGGCCAATACCCTCGTGGACAGGAGCCATCAATTCTCACCGAGCTGTAGCTGAAAGCCACAAATCCGCTCTCCTGTGTGGCACGGCGCAGTGCTGTGTTGCCGGTGTCCTGCGGCACACGGTCACCCCTGCACCAGCACATCCCCATCTCCACGCTTCTCCTGTGCTAGGGCACGTGCCCTCTGGTGAGCTCCAGTTTTTCCACCTCAAGCATCCAGACTTGCCTCCTGAAGGAAACGCCTTGCCGCTCCCAGGCTACGTGTTGTTTTTGAAGCAGCTTCTGCTCAGCCTTTATTTGGAAGTCAGTGGAGCTGGCAGCGCTGGCATCGCAGCCAGGCCAGCAAAGCTTCACCGCTCCCGCCTCGCCACAGCTAAGCCTCATCCTGTGGATGCTTCAGCCAGGGTCTGG